GCGTCCGCGCGCCCCGTAGGGGCACGCACCGACCCCCGGCCGCGGTGACTCGGGACGCGCCGGCCGCCGCCGCCGCCGCCTTCTCCTCCTCGGCACAAGTCCCCTCAGCGAGCAGAGGGTCGCGGGCACAGCCCCCGCCGGGACCAAAGGGAACCTCGCCGCCTCCGCAGCCTCCACCACCAATTCCCTTCAGTCGTCCGCGCCGCCCCAAGAAAATGTCACCAGAGGCCGTTCCGCTCTGCGCCTCACTTCCGCCCGGAACCACAGAGTCTGCGCCGGCGGGGTAGAGCGGCCACTGCGGCGGCAGCCTCTGGTGACTGGGGCCGGAGGCCGGGAGAAAGCCAGACAGCGCCATCTGGCGATAGGGAATCCAGCTCCCGCTGCAGAGCACCGACTCCGCGGCGCCGGCCTCCCAGGCTTCTTTGCTGCGCGGCTTCTTTCGGTTCTGGCAGCTACTTCTAGACATGTCTTTCCCAGAGGGTAGGAAAGCCAGTCCATGCAAGCCAAGGACAGTGCCTTAAGAAAAGGCCCTCCTTCCCGTGCCCTGCCCAGTACTCACCCCCTCCCGAATGAAGCCCGCGATGTCTGATACTGACTCACTGCAGCAGGGAGTCCTCACTTTTCCGCGGAAGCCAGCAGCTCGGCTGGGAAAGACTGGGCTGTGCTCCTCTCCAGCAGTAGCATCAACATCCTGTTCAAGTTTCTGCACGGGAACCTCGCACGGGAACCGCGCTATGGCGAATAGCGCGCCACCTGCTGGTGAGACGCTCTCTGCCGGGGAGACCCGGCTCCGCCGCTGCGCGCGTTCCAAGGCCCTAAATTCCAGCTCTGCAGAGTCACGGCTCGGGTCTGCAGCGCGCCCAGGAGAGGATGACACACCCGCGCCCCCTCTGAACTGACTGGGCCGTTCCTCCGGATGGAGAAGCGGGTGCATCGCGCACAGGACGCGGGACCCATGGGAAAGGGAGCCCGGCGCAGGCCCCCTGGACCAGTAGAGGGCTTCGGAGGAGAAAGGGAAGATGCCAGATGCCAAGGACAGTTTCACAACTCAAAACCTGGCTCACTGAAAGCAGTGCAGGATACTCAGAGCCAGAGCGGGTAATGAAAGAATTTGAAAGACCTGAGTAGAAAATGTCACAGGTCCTTTACCTTTTAAGGAGCTATACTAGAACTTTAGGCGAGATTCCCTAGAGGAGATTGTGAATACCCCCACAGCGCCCTAACGTCGGTCTCCCTTTTAGATCAGGCCCATCAGCTGCCCCAGTTCACTCTGGGTTTATTAATTAGGCTTTTATTGATACATAATAAGTGTACTATTTAAGAGGTACAGTGTGGCATTTCAAAACGTGCACTGCATAATGATCAAATCAGAGTAATTAGCATATGTATCACCAGGGACAGTTATCATCATTTCTTTGTGTTGAAAACCACTCTACTAGTTTTGTGGTTTGCTTTGATTTGCTTTTTTGTGTGTTTTTTTCTGGTACACAGGTTGGACCTGGTAGGGGTGCTCTAGCACTGAGCTATTCCCTTACCCACCTTCTTTATTTTCTGTTTTGAGACGTAATTGCCTAGGCTGCCCTCAAACTTGCTGGTCTCCTGCCTCAGCCTCCCAAGTATCTGGGATGCCAGGTGTACACCACCCTACTTGGATTCCACTAGGTACAGTATTTTGAAATATGAAATTAATGTAGCTCAGTGATAGAGCACTTGCCTAGCAAACAAATCCTTCAGTTCTATCTCAGACTCTCAACAGTAACAAAAAAGGATTTGGAGCCAGATATAGTGGCACCTGTAATTGCAGAAGTTGGGAAGTTGAGGCAGGAAGATGGCTGTGCCCCCAGCTGGGCTACATAGTGAGTTCAAAGCCAGCCTGAACTATATAGGGAGACCCCATCTCAAAAAACAAAAACAACAACAAAAAAAAAATGGATTCATTCCTTTAATCCTCATAACAACTCTGTAACTTTGAAGCTCTTACTCATCCCAGTTTACAAAGGGGAAATTGAGGCACAGAGTGACCTGCCCAAGATGACACATCAGTAAACCTCAGGGTTAGATTCCAACACAGTCCACTGCCTCAGTTTACCTTTTAAACCACGACTACCAACTGCTTCCTTGAGTTTTGCTGAGAACATACTGAGTGCCAGATGAATAGTTTACTTGTGTGTGTATTGCACTTGTGTGTTGATTCATTTCCTGCTACCTTAGTCCTCAAGGGATTGGAGCGGTTGTGGGTTGTGGGGTAGTGACAAAAGCCCAAGCTCTTTCAGGAGAAAAAGAGAAGAGAAAGTAACCACAAAAATCACAGTTGCTTGTTTGGTGGTGCACACCTGTAATCTGTCACTTGGGAGCCTGAGGCAGGAGGATCACAAGTTTGAGGGCAGCCGGTACAACATAGCATCAACCTATCTCAAAACAAATAAAAACCAAACACTGTGTGTGCTTGCGTGCATATACACACACACACACACACACACACACCAGCTTCACGGCTGTCACTCTTGAAATGAGTGAATGAATGTGAACTAGCACTGTCAGTTTTAAAAGGATTCCTTGACAATGTCATCTCATCAGTGCTACAGAAATACTGAGGTAGGACCTGACTTATAGCGTATCACCTTGGCTCCCTCTCCTGTTTGATCCTAACAAGTCAGTTCTCTACAGTGAATGGACTGCAGATTTTTGGAGGTTTGGCTACTTGGCATTCTAATTACTAACGTTTCTATTACTACCTTTTTCCTCCCTCAATGCTAGGGATTGAATCTGGGCCCCATATGCACTAGGCAGGTGCTCTATCCACTCAGCTCCAGCTCCAGCTCCAGCTCCTACCACAATGTTTCAATTACTGCAGAGACAGTTGCTTACTTGCTTTGGTGTGTGTTTGTTTGTTTGTTTTGAGACAATTTCTTCTTCTACTTCCCCTATAGGAGCAGGAAGAGCCAGCCAGTTCATCCTACTTCTGCCTCGGGATTGTCTCCTAGAGTCTCCTATGCATCCAGTACTCAGCTCTTCAAAAAGCTCCTGAAGCCGAGTGTGGTGGCACAAACCTGTAATCCCAGCACTTGGGAGGCTAAGGTAGGAAGATCAAAGCAGGAAGAGGCAGGAAGATTGCAAGGGGTTCCAGGCCAGCCTGGGCTATCTAGGGAATTTAAGACCAGCCTGAACTATATAGTGAGACCCTGACTCAAAAAAAAAAGTTCCTGAAATGCCATCTTCTCCAAAAACTACCTCCATCAGGTGTCTTTCCCATCCCTTCCACGCTGCTGCCCCCCTACCCTGGCCTCCCACCACCTGTGCCCAGGGATGCCTCCTACAACACGTCTACGCCTTGGTCTGCCTACAGTGTCTTACCAAGCCACATCCGTGGGTCGGCTCTGTCGCAGCCCTGGAGGTCTGTCACGGCCTGTCAGAATCAGTCCTCAACACCATTTCTTGCACCTACTGCACCCCGTGGAATGGGGTTGGGCCTGCAGCAGGTGCCTGAGCCTCAGCATCAGAAAGTGGCCAACCTGGCTTTGCTGGTAGCCTGTGTCTGTTTTTCCTGACCAAGCGGCCTTCCTGACCACCCTGTGCCCTGCAAGGTGGGTGCTGTTGGACCAGGGGTGTCACTCAGTGGTAGAGCATTTGCCTAGCATACTTAAGGTCCTCTGTTGAATCAAAATAAATAAATGCATAAATAAATAATCAAATAAATCAAAATAAATGCATAAATAAAGAAACAATTAGAAGGACTCTAGGTAACGGAGAGATCCTTGTCGCTCTGGGCTGGGCTTGCCCCTCCCTTCCTTCTCAGAGTTCTGGGAGCTGGGCTGCCACCCCAAGCATCTGTGATCACCCAGCATCCACCACAGGCAGTGGAATCTGGGGAAATGCTCAACTTCTGCATTCTGAGCCACAGAACCTGCAACTGGTTGCCGTTCCACAGTTAACTCTCCCTGCTCTGCCTTGCCAGCTCGTTCCAGGGAGTGAAATTGTAGCCTCCACGTGGTAACCATCCAGAAGCACTTGAAGGGTTCCAAGTGGCAGGGCAGATAGTCCTCAGGATCAGAAGCTCTGGAGTCTGACAGATCTGAATGGGAACCTGGTTCTGCAGTTATGTCACTTCCCCTATGGGACAGGCCTCAGTGTCCTGGCCTGTCCAGCGAGGATGATCTCCTAGTTCTTCCTTGCAATCCCTCCCAAGGAAGAAGGTGGACAGACTCATGTATCTCAAGCTCACAGCACATTTCTAGCTCAGAGAGAATGTTCTAGAAGAGGCCATCCTGATGCCTGCACTCCAGGGCACACTTCCTAGGCACACAGGTTCTCAGCGCTCACTTCCAGTAACATTTCCATCTCAAAGGCTCATTTTTCCACAGCAACAAGTTCACATGGAACCAGAGCCAGAATGGAACATGCTGGAGGCTGTCGTGAAAGTGGAGCCAGGCAGAAGCCGAGTGGGGCCGGGAGTGGCATTTCCCTCCGCTCCCTGCCTGCTCTGGGCTGGGTGAAATGCTCTGGGATCCAGCTCCAAGCCCTTCTTCCCAGTCAGGTGACCCCCGGGAACCCAGTCCATATAGAAAGACTTTAGCCAGGCATGGTGGCACACGCCTGTAATCCCAGCACCTGGGAGGCTGAGGCAGGAGGATCATTGTGAGTTTGAGACCAGCCTGGGTTACAAAGTGAGCTTAAGGCCAGCCTGAACTGTATAGCGAGATCCTGTCTCAAAAAGACAAAAAAACCCCAAACATACAAACAAACAAACAAAAAAAAGCATATAGAAAGACTTTAAAATTGTTTAAAAGTAGAAAAAATACAAAGGACAGTTTTAAATTTATCAACAAGTGCATACTTACTTCCCCTCGTTTGTTTTACAGTACTGGGCCTTGATGCATGCTAGGCAAACACTCCCCCACTGAGCTGCATCCCCAGCTCCTCTTTACTTTTTGAGATAGTGTCTCACTAAGTTGCCCGCGCTGGCCTCAAACTTGTGACACTGCTGCCTCAGCCTCCGAGTGTGCTGGGATTACAGGTGTCCATTAACACCTCTGGTTTTTTTTTTTTAATGAAAGGAATCACCCTGAATGACTGGGTGCTTTGTGGGCCTTCATGGGAGGGGAGAATGCTCCTTTGACAGCTCATCTCAACTGGCAGCCTCCCTGCCCTCACAGCAGACCATTGTCTCTTCCATCTGATTTGCCATCCTGGGGCCGCAGGGTCATGTTCCTGAGGATGCAGGTTGAAAGTGGAGCCCGGAGCAGCCGCAGGCAGAAGACCCTGCGGTGCATGCAAAGCCTCAGGGCCCAGCCGCTCAGCACACACGCCCTGAGGGGACAGAGGAGGGCCAAGAGTCAGAAACCTGCAAGATGTCAAAACAAGGAAGCTAGGCCAGGTGCCAAGTGGGTGAGAGGCTGGCAGGAGGATGTGGGCCTGTGGACCAAGTAGAGGGAGGGGTTGTCGAGGAAGACCTGGCACCTGCTGACTGCGTTAAAGAAGGGGAAGCAAGCCCTTGTCGGAAGGAAGAGCACAGGTCATGCTATTATGGACAGCTAAGCAAGGTGGAACTATTACAGGCAGTTGGACAGGGCTCAGCCCCCAGGGGAGTCAACAGAGGGTGAAAACACATTACAACGGTGCTTCAGTTGGAGGCCAGGCCTCAAGATTAAGACAAGATGACCAGTCCTACGTGCCTCCCCGGAGGATGAACAATGGATTGGAA